CCCGGGGAGAACCGCCCCCCCCCCCCCCCCCCCCCCGGACTTCAGTCTCTTGAAGGGAGCAGATTCCTATTCCCACGCTGATCACGCCTCACTCGCCCCCTTGCCGCCGCCGCCTCCCGCTTGCCTCCCTCCTTCTCTCCCATACGCTCCCCTGGCTGTCTGTCCACCATGAGTTCTGCGTCTTGGCTGTTCTGGACTGAGGAGGCGGCGGCGCTTGCCACGGGCCTGGGCTGTCGCTCTGGCGATGCTACGCCAGGCTGCCCTTGTGGTGGGGAGGCAGAGGGTGGCCGTGTGCCCTGTGCCATGGCAGCTGGGAACTATTGTCTCTGGATGCAAAGCTTTGCTACTTCCTATGACTAGCGGTCCTCAGTTGGTACACAACACTCCCTCACCCTGAAAAGCCATCAGCCACTTCTCTTCTTGCTGGGATTTCAGTTCTTTCGGGATAAGAATCACATACACCCCAGGAGATTTTACTTCTCTGTATGTTTGCCTAGTTAGCCATGGCTGCCACCTTTGACAATTGCTGGCAGCAGACAAGTAAAGTACCCCATATTTCCCCCACCATACTGTGGTAGTGCTGAGAGTGTCTTATGGCAACCCTGCAGTGGAGTCCAATGTTACCCTTATGTTGTGTAATAAGGGGGGTGTTGTTGTAGGCTTAAGAGTGGGTCCGAACAACCCTGCAATGTTTTCATATTGCAGACTAAGGAAGAGTGGTTTACAGAAGGCTTACAACGTGGTCTGCCATTATTCCCCATATGGCACTTTGTGGTGGAAATGAGGCTGAGAACATAGCTTATGACCTACTAATGTAGCCCAGTGTTATTATTGCCCTTTGGAGAGAACCGAGGCAACAGTAGAACATAACAGTCCTTCAAAGTAGTCCTTTCAGTTAGTCTTTTCCCCCAACGCCAGATGAGAGAGGTTATAAGTTGGCCAAACTTTGAATGCAAGGAACAAGATGGTGTCACAAAGCATCACTGGAGAGGACGGTTAGAAAAAGACTTCTTGGGTAGTAGGGGAGATAGCAGGTGGGAAAAGAATAAAGTGGATAATAGAAATAGCGTGTGCACTTTGTGCATTAAAGAAGAACCATTTTACAAGCTCAGAGCTAAAAGGCCCATCGCGGATCCAGCATGCTATTCCCACAAATGGCAAGCAGGGTGCTCCTGTGAAACCCGTAAGTGAGGCATTAAGGCAGAATCTCTCCCCAGCTATTCCTCTGAAGTACCTTGGCAGCCATTCGGTGGTATACTGTGTCAAGACATGGAGGCTCCATTTAGCTATCATGGCTAATGGCCATTGACAGACCTCTTCTCCATGAATTTAGTTAATCCCCTATAACTCCACCTAATTTAAAGGCAAGCAGCATGTGCTTTGGCAATGAACTTTAAACAAAGACATGAGAATGGTCTTGCTGGATCAGAACAAAGGTCGAGCTGTGGTTAGCCAGGTGCTTCTGGAAAATCCACTAAGAGGATGTGAAGGCAACAGCCCTTTCCTCTCGTTTGGCCCCAGGAGCCAGAATTCAGAGGTGGGTTGTCTGTAATCTCTACCAGGAGGCCGGGGAAGCTTTTGTGGGGGAATCGCAGGCGGCGCGCAGGGGGCGTGGCACGTCTTTAAAGAAGCACCTCTTCCGCCCTTCTGGAGGCAAAACCACTCCTCGCGCCTCGTCTCCCAGCGGAGCACAAGCCAATGGAAACAAGCCCAACAGCCATTTGTGTTACTAAGGTCTACTAAGATGAACCTGTTCTGCGAGCATTCCAGTTGGTCCCACAGTGGAATGACAGCCCCTAGGGGTAGCAGATCTGTTCTGAGGGTAGAATGACAGGACTGGAATGACAGTCACTGGGGGTAGCAGGAGTGTTCTTGGACTGGAATGACAGACAGGCCTCAGTCCCAGAAGACTCCTGCTACCCCCAGGGGCTGTCATTCCACTCTGGGGCCTGTTATTCCAGTCCCAGAAGACTCCTGCTACCCCCAGGGGCTTTCATTCCACTCTGGGGCCTGTCATTCTAGTCCAAGAAGACTCCCGCTAACCCCAGGGGCTGTCATTCCACTCTGGGGCCTGTCATTTCCATTGGTCATTTCCATTGGTCATTTCATTGGTGGGTAGCTGTGTTGGTCTGAAGCAGCAGAACAAAGTCTGAGTACAGAGTGGCACCTTTAAGACCAACAGAGTTTTATGCAAGGTGTGAGCTTTTGTGTACAAACGTACTTCTTCCGATACAGTGAAACAGAATTTCCTCAGCCCTTGCATATAGGAAGACAGTAGAACAGCTTTAGAGTCCAGAGTGGCACCTTTAAGACCAACAGAGTTTTATGCAAGGTGTGAGCTTTTGTGTACAAACACACTTCTTCTGAGCCCAGGGACAGCTGGCGGAGCCGGGAGTGGGCGGGGGACGTTTTCGCGGGTGGGTGGGTGGCGGGAGGCGCATGGCGCCACTGGGCATATCTCTTTACGGAACCCCACCCGGGCCCCGCTGGAGGCAAAACCACTCCTCGCGCCTCGTCTCCCAGCAGCAAAGGATCCCCTCCCATAGGATCCCCTCCTGGGCAAGGCCACTGGGAGACGAGGCGCGAGGAGCATATTTCGCCCTCAGGAGCTCAGGGGGTGGGGATGACATTGGAGCTACTCTGTCCTGCCTGAGCAAGGATGTACTTGACCCTGCCAAGCAAAATCCCATGCAGCATTTCCAAGCCCTGTGTGGAAATGAGGCACCTGACCAAACCTGGCACAGAGCTAAGTAGGTGAGCTCTTTCTCCCTCTGTCTCCATTTGGGGGTGAGGTGTGTCCCGTAGGGGTAGCAGGAGTGTTCTGAGGGTGGAATGACACACAGGCCTCAGTCCCAGAACACTCCTGCTACCCCCAGGGGCTGTCGTTCCACTGTGGGGCCTGTCATTCTAGTCCCAGAACATTCCGGCTCCCACCAAGAGCTTTCATTCGTCTCTGGGACGTGTCATTCCAGTCACAGAACACTCCTGCTACCCCCAGGGGCTGTCATTCCACGCTGGGGCCTGTCATTCCAGTTCCAGAACACTCCTGCTACCCACAGGGGCTGTCATTCCACTCTTTGGCCTGGAATGACAGCCCCCAGGGTGGAATGACCCCACTGCTCAGCCGCAGGACCTTTTTTCAGCACCATGGTAAAAAAGAAAGGGCATCTGAGCACGCACAGAACACTTCGGGAGCATCGCTGTTTTGACTCCCTGCCCTTGCTATAGGATTCCCAGCCCGTGCTACTCGTGAGATGATTTGGGGCCCCCAGCACCTGTTCCGGTTGACGCAGCAAGGAGGCACGGCGCTTTCCTGGAAATAGCTCCAGAGCCTTGCACTTATTTACAATTTCCGGGACAAAATGCCTATGGAACACCTTAGAACAGGCCGGAACAGGCATTAAACACACAATAGTACCACAAAAAGCACCGGGATGCATTACAGGCATTCCAGAACAATATTCTAAAAGTGAAAACGTGGAGCTTTCGCACCTTCATTAACCCTTTCCAGGCCAAAATGCCTTTGGAACACCCCAGAACTGTTCCGAGGTGTTCCGGAGGCATTTTGGCCCAGAATGGGTTAATATGTGCACACTATCACTGCGTTTGGATTGCCACAATATTGTTCTGGATTGCCTTTAAGGCTTCCCACTGTTTCTTGCGGTACTATTGTTTGTGTAATGCCAGTTCCGGCCTTCTCTGAGGTGTTCAAGAGGCATTGTGGCCCGGAACATATCTCAACATTTGAATTTCCAAAACATTGTTCTGGATTGCCTTTACAGCATCCCACGGTTTCTAGTGGTACTATTCTTTAACACCTGTTCTGTCCTGAGGTGTTCTGGATGCATTTTGGTCTGGAAAGGGTTAATAAAAGTGTGAGTGTTCCGTGTTTCCACTTCTAGAATATTGTTCTGGAGTGCCTGTAATGCATGCCACTGTTTTTTGTGGTACTGTTTGTTTGTTTAATGCCCATTCCGGGCTGTTCCGGAGGTATTTTGGCCTAGACAGGGAATAAAAGAGTGAGAGTTTTGTGTTTTCACTTCTATAATACTGTTCTGGAGTGCCTGTAATGCATACCACTGTTTTTTGCAGTACTATTGTTTGTTTAGTGCCCCTTCTGAGCCGTTTGGGGTTTTACCCTGTCCCCGTAAAGTGGTTTATTTAGATCTTAGCCGGCTCACAAGTGGGGGTGGGTGGCGGGTAAACCCCTGCTTTGAACCCCACCCCCCGAAGCTCAGCGTGGCTGCGTCATCGGATGTGACGCAACCACGTATATCACATTGGTGGCGTGGCCAAGATCGTCGGAGGGAAAACTCTATGGCCCGCAACGTGGTCGACGTTGCGCATCACTTATGGTGATGCGCTAGTGGCGCGCGCTATGCGCCGCACACGCACATCTGAGGACGGCTCCCGGAGCCCGGGACAGCTCCAGCGCCAGTGAGTTTTTTTGACTTGGCAACCCTACCTAGAAAGGGTTAATAAAAGTGTGAGAGTTCTGTGTTTCCACTGCTAGAATATTGTTCTGGAGTGCCTGTAATGCATGCCAATGTTTTTTGCGGTGTTATTGTGTGTTTAATTCCCCTTCCGGGCTGTTCCAGGCTGTTCCGGAGGGATTTTGGCCTAGACAGGGTTAATAAAAGTGTGAGAGTTTTGTGTTTTCACTTCTAGAATACTGTTCTGGAGTGCCTGTAATGCATGCCACTGTTTTTTGCGGTACTGTTTGTTTGTTTAATGCCCGTTCCGGGCTGTTCCGGAGGTATTTTGGCCTAGACAGGGAATAAAAGAGTGAGAGTTTTGTGTTTTCACTTCTATAATACTGTTCTGGAGTGCCTGTAATGCATACCACTGTTTTTTGCAGTACTATTGTTTGTTTAGTGCCCCTTCTGAGCCGTTTGGGGTTTTACCCTGTCCCCGTAAAGTGGTTTATTTAGATCTTAGCCGGCTCACCGCTAGGTGGCTTCGTTTTATGAAAGTGCCGTTTTGTAAAACAAACAAACATACCAATTGGGGGGTGGGGGTGTACCCAATTTTCAGCTGCTTTCTCTGCAAGCAAGCGCGCACACAGAGAGACACCGCTCAAGCGTCCTCGCTAGTTTCTGCATCCCGCCTGCTTCGCTAGTGCTCCGAGCTCCTCCTGGCCCTTTGCCTTGCAATCGGCCAGCGAGGCAGGCGGGGGCTAGGGGGCGCTTGGCCGCTGCCTCCTCCCCCTTTGAGCTCAGTTCCTGCATCGGGAGAAGAGCTCCGCTTGTCTGGAAGTCCGGCGCCAGACGCCCGTTCGCCCGCCCGCCTGCCGACTCCCCGAGTTCTCCCCAGCTGCCAGCATGTCTTCCAACTCCAGCCTCAACACCATGCAGCGCCTGGTGGAACAGCTGAAACTGGAGGCCGGCGTGGAAAGGATCCGGGTAAGCGCGACTCGGAGGATCGCGGGTGGTTTAGACGATCGCCCGCAGGAATACAGGCGCCGCTGTCTGGCGGAGGAGGCGCTGGCTGGCTGGCTGGCTGGCTCCCGGGAGGAGGGAAGGAAGGAACCCGCCGCCGCTCCCTTTGCAAGAGGACTGGGTGGGCCCACAAAGAGCCCGGAGCGCTCCTTAGAGAGAGCGAGAGAGAGGCTTGGGGTCAAGCCTTTCGTTTTGTCTTCTCCGTAGCTCGGGTTAGCTGGGAGGAGACGAAGAATCCAGACGTTCTCCTCGCCCAGGAATCTGATTCCGGGGCCTGCGGGTGGGAACGTGCAACTCGCAGCTCTCTCTCTCTCTCTCTCTCTCTCTCTAATCATCCGTCGTAAGCAGTTGCTGCTGACCGGCAAGCCCCTTCCTGCCCTTACTTGACCCGAGTGGTCCTCTGCGTGACAAACGGAATGCGTGACTGTCGCCGGACCCAGCTGGGAACAGGCTCGACACGCAACCCAGACTTCCTCATAAAGTCTGTATTGTTTTAGTTCGCTCGGGGTCCCTTCCCCCTTTTGCAGCTGGCTCTTAGTATCTGCCGTTGAAACGTGCCTTTGTTCCCCAGGACAAGAGGCTTGAGCTGAGTTTGCGTGGCGCCCCCTTGCCTGTTCTGTCACAGGCATGGCCTTTGTGTCGGGGGACTTGGAGCCGAATCCTATAAGAGCTCAGGGACCTTTGCTGAGGCAAAGCTCTGTGGTAGAATTGCACCCAACAACCCCAGACCTGATTCGATGGCGCCCTCCTGCCTGGTTTGCCTGTTTCTTTTGAGGTCCAGTTTAGGTTAAGGCAGCAGATCTCCAGATGAAAATAAAAGTTAAGACGCTGCAGGCTGTGGAAGGTCAGTAGTTCAGCAGTTCGAGACCCGCATGATGGAGTGAGCTCCCGGCTCTAGTTCCAGCTCCTGCCAACCTAGTAGTTCGAAAGCAAGAAATTGCAAGTAGATAAATAGGTACCACTTCGGTGGGAAGGTAACAGCGCTCCGTGCGCCTTGGTGTTTAGTCATGCCGGCCACATGACCACGGAAATGTCTTCGGACAGCGCTGGCTCTTTGGCTTTGAAACAGAGATGAGCACCGCAACCCTAGAGTCAGATTCTACTGGCTTTCGATCAAGGGAACCTTTACCTTTTATCTCAGTAAAATGGCAGCGGGGGGGGGGGGGGAGCGGGGCTCGAATTGTAAAAAATTACCTTTTGTGCCGAGAAAAGTGGCGGGGGGGGGGGGGGGAAGTGTGGCTGCAATGAGTGCATAACGGTGCATCGCTAAAGAGAGTTTACACCCCACTAAGGACATTGACTTTCACTGATTTAGAAGGGTGTAACCCTGTTTAGGATGGCATTATATATGACACCCAAGTCCTTTCAGAAAGGTTCAGGCAGCAGCTCTGGTCCATAGAAAACCCTTCAAAACAAAAGTCGGATCTTCTATTATGTTCCTCCAGAGTAATAACAAGGCATTGTACAAGCATGTGGGTTTCCCCCAGCTCTTCATCATGCTAGGTGGTGGTGGTGGTGGAAACGGGGATATCTCATGCCACGGTCACACAAGGCCTGATGAAGAGGGCTTAACCACTCAAAAGTCTGCAGGCTGTTTTGTATTGTTGTGATTATTCCTAATAAAAGGTATTGTTTTTGGAAAGTTGATTCAGGAAGAAGGATTAGAAGGTAATGAAGAGAAATACTGTAGGCTTGCAGTCTGGGACAGGACCCAGTTAGAACAGGCATTTCTCTTTCTGTATTCCCAACCTCCCTGGCCTGGCAGACTTCCTCCTGAGTCCCTGCTAGACCCCTGCCCCTCAAGAGCTCCACTCGGGATCTGTCTCCCCACTGGACCTATGAAGCTGTTGCAGATGGGTATGTGGCAGCAGAATGGGGTGGAGGTGGAATGTGGCAGTTATATTTAGGACTGTGGGTGGAAGAATCACATTTATTAATGTTCCACCATATAAAACAATCCATACAAGTTGACAAATAATACAGAAAGGTTGCCTAGCTCTCTGCCTCCTACAACGGTTGTTTGATTTCAGGGAGTTTTTAACATAGGCGAGTATGAAACCCCCTACCTCCAGACAAAAGTGGTACAATCTATTCTAGGACCTTATTTTGCTACTGGGCCATGGACCATTCTTCCGTCTTAGGTGAACACATGAAGCTTGGGAAAAAATGTAAATAGGTGGGATCTTCCTATCGTTGTTGGTGGTAATGCAGCCATTCAAGGGCTGTGGAACAAAGTACTTACAGTGATTCATAAGATCTGTAATGTGAAGTTAGAGCTAGATCCCAAATGGCTATTATTGGATTTACCTTCTCATAAGGATATTGATACATCAAAGCTTAAGCTTATTTCAGCTTTGTTGGCAACAGCACATTTCTGTAGTGTGCTAAACTGGAAGAAGGATAAACCTCCATCTTTAACATTGTGAAAGGTTAAAATTTGGGACCTTATGGTTATGGAGAAGATCTCTTTAATGGTTAACCCTACAGATTCAGGTCCTAAGTTATTTCACTTTTTGGACAAGTGGATGCCTTATTTCTTATATGGAGGGAATGAGAAGTCATAAAGGTGGGGAAATCCCTATCAGATATAGGTTGCTTTAAAAATAGTTGCTCCATCTATATTTCCTGTAACAATGTGTTTTATTTGCTTGTAGGACTTAACATCATGTCCATAGTTTTCACTCTATGATATTTGTTGTGTTCTACTTGATTTTATGTATGTTGGAATTTGTTTTGTTTTTAAGATGTTTAAAATAATTTTTTTAAAAAAAAAAAGCCACATGAAGCTGCCTTATAATGAATCAGACTATGAGACCATCAAGGTCAATACTGTCTACTCCAACAGGCAGCAGCACTCCAGGGTCTTAGGACTTCAACCTTGATCCTTTCAACTGGGAATGCCAGGGTTTGGACCTGGGACCCTCTGCATGTCAAGCAGATACTGTACCACTGAGCCATGATTGACTTCCCGCTATCTTGTCTGGGATTCTTTGCTCAGATTGGCCGCAACTCTTCTTGCGAGGCTTTGTTCAAGCCCTGCTTTGCAAGTTCTGTGACCTAGAGATGCCAGGAATCACACTCGCAAAGAAGGAGCTCTACAACTGAGCAATGGGCCTTAGGTTGAACAGATGGCATTTTGATTGCTGGTATCAGCAGAGATGCTTACTTCATGAACATGGCTTGTATTGATTATACCTCTCTTTAACTTCTCACAGCTTATGGTCAACAATGAGGTTATAACTGGTTCTGAAGGTTTTATTAGTAAGCTTGAAGGAAGAGTTTGGACACAAGCAATTTATAAAATGTTCTAATCATAACAATTTCCCAGAACAGTATGGAACTTTCTGGACTGATGAAAAGGATAAGGATTCCTATAACTATTGGGCTTTTAGAAAACAGAAATCAGCAGTGGGCACTCTCAGTGTAATCTTTCCAAGGTCACCAGCCAAAGCCTCCTCTTATGTTGAGAGACTGGATTCTGTATGCATTTCAGGGCTTATTTCTGTTTAGGGATAGCATTGTTCAGAGACCTGACTTTACATAATTTGTCACTACAAGTTTGGGAATAGACATTTGTTTGGTGTCTTGTAAAAGGGCCTTCATGTGAATACACATGGACATCTAGAATCCTGATAAAAATTGGATTTTTTTTAAAAAAGCGATCGATGTGCTCCCAAAGGATGGTTATATATGGACAAATGTTGTGTTTGTGGACTATTAACTTTTGCAGACTTACTGGTAAAGTATCCTAGAAAAGCCTGGAGGAAGTAGTCGTAGATTGATATAAAACACATTTTTTAATTCCACTCTTAATAATTCCTTTCTTTCTTTTTTTTGAACCCCCGGAGGGGATTTTTTATTATTTTTTATATCACTACAAAAACTATAACAGAAGAAAAAGGAAAACTACATTTACGGGATAAAGTAAAGTACCCACTACTAACTAAAAACCCAAGAGAGGAGATCCTCCTACTAGCTTAATTATATCAAATCTTCCCATCATTAATCCCATTACAAACTGAGTCAAACATTTAAAATACTTTCCCTTTAAAGCTTAAAATTTAACTGTCTAAACACAGTACCCCCAATCATCCCATTTCAAAGTTCTCAAAGGCACAATTCAGAGCCTTTACTTCTCCTTTCCCCTTCTTCCGTAATTTATAAGGACTTTTTGGGGCTGCTGCCCCTTGCTCTGCCAGAGAGTCCTCTCTGAAAGAACCTGAGTCTAGCTCGCCACTGGACTTGCTGTCCTCTTCTTTTTTGCCATCCTCTGACTTTCCCAACTGGACCCTTAGAAATTCTTGAGCTTTCATAACCGAGTCAATCTTTTCTTTTTTGTCCTTAATCTTGAAAGTGACGCCTTCTGGAAATAACCATTTATATCCAATTGAATTTGTCTGAAGAAAAAGCACAAGTTCTTTATACTTCTTTCTCCATTGTCTTACTTCAAATGGAATGTCCTTTAATACTCTGATAGTATTCTCTCCCACTTTCAGGGATATTCCAGAAACCACTTTCAGGATTGCATCCCTCACATGCCTCTTCGAGAATCTTACAACAATTTCCCCAGGCAGATTATTTTTCTTTATATAGCCTGAATATGATCTATAGACCACATCCATATCTCTTAGCAACTATTCCACCTTCATCTCTGTCACTGGGGCTAATAATTCGCTCATCACTTCTTTAAGATTCTCCCCCTTATTCTCTGGCATGCCCTGGAAGCGAAGGATCATGTTGGCCTTTTCCATTGAGAGGTAATACATTGAGTCATTGTTGACATCTGTTCCTTGAAGTTATTCAGCTGTTCCATCAGAGGGCGCATGTATTCCGCTATAGATCTTGCCACCTCACTGGTAGCTTCCGGTTTCGGGCTCTCAGTCCCTTTCGCTTTCAAAAGTTTTTCTTTGTCCTTCTTCCCTGCCATCTTTATCATTTGTTTACTTTCGCAATTTTTTTAAAAG